CACGGCCGAAGGCCTGGGAATTCTTGCACCATCGACCTGGATGTCACGTCTCCCTCTTACCACCACTGCGGCCGAGATCCCTGTCAGACAAGTTTCCGGCAGCATGGTCGACGGCGCCAGCATCGACGCCCAGCACAAGCCCCGGCGCCTTCGCCAGCAGCGACGCCAGCGGTGACGGCAGCATGAACAACTGCGTCTACGCCAGCACCACGTTAGCACCAACGCCAGCGCTTGCACCAGCACCAGCGCCTACGCCAGCACCGACGCTCGCTTCAACGCTTGCGTCGACGTCAGCAGCGCCTCCTCAGTGCTTTCAGCAGTAAGCCTTTGGTCCAGACCTCCCGCCTAAGCTCATCACTCCGCCTACGCCGGCACCAACGCCAGCGCCTATTTCAGTGCCGACGCCAGCACCTACGCCCGCATCAACACTGGCGCATCGGCCAGCAGCAACTTCACACTGATGGCTGCGGCAAGCATCGGGCCCAGACCTCCCGCCTAATTTCATCACTGTGCCTACGCTGACACCTACGCTAGCGCCCACACCAGCGCCGACGCCAGCACCGACGCCCGCATCAACACCGGCGCCGACGGCAGCAGCAGCAGCAGCAGCAGTTCTACAGTGCTTTAGGCGGTAAGCCTTTGGTCCAGACCTCCAGCCGAAGCTCATCACTCCGCCTGCGCCAGCTCCAACGCCAGCTCTCACACACCAGCGCCGACGCTAGCGCCAGCGCCCGCATCAACACCTGCACTTACGCCAGCAGCTCCACATTGCTGTCTGAGGGGAGCCGTTGGTCCAGACCTTCCGCCTCATTTCATCGCTGCGCCTACTCTGGTTCCTACGCCAGCGCCTACAGCGCCGACGCCAGCACCGACGCTCGCATCAACACCAGCGCCTCAGCCAGCACCAGTTCTACAGTGTCTTCTGAGTGAGGCCTTTACAAGACCTCCCACATGGTTTCATCATCGCGCCTGCGCCGGTACCAACGCCAGCGCCTGCACCAGCGCAGACGCCAGCGCCGACACCCGCATCGACACCAGCGCCTACGCGAGCAGCAACTCTACAGGGTTTTCCGCCATAAGCCTTTGGTTCAGATCTGCCGCGTATCTTCATCACCGCGCCATCGCCTGTACCAACGCCATGGCCTACACCAGCGCCGACGCCAGCACCGACGCCCGCAGCAACGCCGGCGACTACTCCTGGAGCAACTCTACCGTGCTTTCTGCGGTCAGCATTTGGTCCAGACCTCCCGCCTAATTTCATCGCTGCGCTTACGCCAGCACCATCGCCAGCGCCTACACCAGTGCCGACGCCAGCACCGACGCCCGTATCAACACCTGCACCTACACCAGCGGTAACTCTACAGTGCTTCCTACGGTAAGCCCTTGGTCTCGACATCCCGCCGAATGTCATCATTGCTCATACGCCGGCATTGCCGACGCCAGCATCGACGCCCACGTCAACACTGGCGCCTGCGCCAGCACCAGAGGATGTAAATTGGTTGTCTTCCTCATCGTGTCCACTTGCGTGCGCCAGCACTCAAGCACTGCGATCATAGTTGCGGATCCAAGCTATGGAAACGCCGAGGCCTCCCTGGACTCACGGTACATCGGCATCGACATCCCGAAGATGACCGCATGCAGCACGCATGGAAGCACCTCCAGGGAGGACAGCAGCACCGTCGCCACGTGCAGCAGCAGCAAGAGTGTATCCAGCAACACCGGTTTGATTCCCACGACTGGAACCAGCAGTTCCCCGCGCAGCAGCACCAACGCCCCTACGCTGACGTCGGCCCCTACGCCAGCACCAACGCCGACGCTAACGCCATCACCAACGCCGACGCCTACACCAGCACCGACGCCAGCACCAATGCCAGCACCGACGCCAGCACCGACACCATCGAACGACCGCTGAGTACCCCCTCTGCCGTACGATAGCGGATGGGCTGGCACGCCGAAAATTGTGGATAGGCCAGTACAACGTCCCCAGCAGCACCAGTGCAATCAGCACCACATGTTCGCACCGCGATTGAGGCCAGCATTTGCCGCCAAATGGGCAGTGGCCCTCAGTCGCCGCGTCGGGCAGGGCCAAGGGTGAGAATCACTATGGTTACCCGCGGCACGGCATTGTTTAGCACGATGCATTCAAGAGTACGGCGCGGAGAAGCATGACGGATACCATCAGCACGGCACTGCGCTCCACGACCAGATCCAGCATTGCAATACAATTGTGTTTTCTTGGAGCGGAAATGCGGGCAGGTATTTATGTTGGGGTGCGCCATTTCCGTGCCATGAGACATCGGCGACATCCCCGTGACATTTATCAACGACGCCGTCTGCATGACATCTGACATTGGCATTATCTCCGTGACATCTGGCATCGGCGACATCTCCTTGACATTTGGCGTTTGTCATCGAATACGCTAGCGCCGACGCCAGCGCCTACACCAGCACGGACTCCAGCACCAACGTCTGCGCCTACGCCGGCACTAACGCCAGTACCAACATCAGCACCGACCACAGCTTCGACGCAAGCACCAACGCTTGCGCCTAAGCCAGCACCAACGCCAGTGCCTACGCCAGCGCTGACGCCAGCCCAAACGCCTGCTCCTCTCATCTTTTGCTACAAAGAGACGACCACCAGCGAGACGGAGACAGTTGGAGCGGCCACCACAGCAGGGGCTACTGATGAAGTAGGGGACGAGGAGGCTGACAAGACGTCTGGGACGACTGGAGCCTCTACCATCTTTCCCTGCGACGAGGTGACCACCAGCGAGGCAGAGACAATTGGAGCGGCCACCAAAGCAGGGACGGCGCCAGCTCCAACGCTGGCGCCTACGACAGCGCCGACGCCAGCGTCTGCACCAGCACCGACGCCAGCACCAACACGTGCGTCTACGCTGACATCAGTGCCGTCTCCTACGCCAGCACCGACACCAGCCCCGACGCCAGCACAAACGCCTACACCGTGTTCTGAGTGCGGCTGCGTGAGGGCTTCACCTCCTTATCCCTTCTTTCCTCTCCCTCTTTCTCTCTCGCTCTGTGGTGCATGACTAAGTGTTCAGATTTGTTGTTTTGTCCCGTCGAGTGTCTGCGGGTCAGCCCGCTCGTGCCAGCTCAGGGCATGCATGACTGCGGGGAATCGTGGCCCCGCGCTTATGACCATCTGTAGCTGCTGTAGGTGCAGCGCTGCGGTCCTTGCAGTACCTCGCCTTATGCTGTAGTGGGTGTGCCGACTTGTGGAGCCTCACGCTGTGAGCAGGTCGTGGCCATGATCTTCGCTTGCCTACTCTCTTCCCTGGCTCTCGTTCTCTCTCCTCTTTCCGTCCACTCTGCCACCTAGGGGTCGATCGATTTGCGCGTGCATTTTCTGTCGCTTTGTTCGCCCTTGTCCGCTGCTGACCGGCGTTCGCGCTCCCCTCCTCGCTCCTCCCTTCTGGGTTGCCACAGTGCGCTGTTTTGCGTTGTATTAGCGGCCTTTTTGAGCCGCAGGGGATCGTCGTTCTGCGCCCTTGCCACTTCTCCTCCTGCTGCTGCCTTCTGCTGCTGCTCCTTTTTGGTCCTCTGCTCGGGTCTCACTCTTCCCTCCTGCATGGAGGTGCCTCCAGCTGGCTTTCGCGCGCGCTCCCAGACACTGACAAAGAAACGAGGTGGTGGTGGCGTCTTGCGCTGGGAAACAAACATCCGAATTACTCTCCTCCTCCTCCTCCTCCTCTTCCTCCTCATCCTCCTCCTCTTCCTCCTCCTTGTCCTCAGCCTTCTCCTCCCCCTCCTCCTCCTACTCCTCCTCCTCCTACTCCTCCTCCTCCCCCTCCTCATCATCATCCTCCTACTCCTCCACCTCGTTTTCCTTATCCTCATCCTCCTCCTCATCATCCTCCTCATCCTCCTCCTTCTCCTCCTCCTGGTCCTCATGTTCCCCCTGCTTATGAATAACTCTTTCCTCCTCCCCCTCTAACGTGTCAGTAGGGCGGGCCAGGCGTTTCGCCTGAGACTTCCTCCCCATGTATGCACTTGAAGTTTGGAGTTTGCAACAGTTTCACGGATGGAGCCCGGGTCGTTTTCAACATGCGATTCTCGCTTCAGCGCCGCGCACATTCGATTACAAAGTTTGCAATAGTTTCTCCCATGGAGGGCGGGTGGTTTTCAAAACGTGGGGTTCGCCATAGTGCCGCGCACATTCGTCTTGATTGTTTGCAACAGTTTCAAGGATAAGGGGCTGGCGGTGTTCAAAGTGCGGTTTTCGCCACAGCGCGGCACACAGTTGTTTCAAAAGCTTGCAACATGGTCACGGATGGATGGCGGGTGATTTAAAAATGTGGTTATCGCATTAGTGCCGTGCACATTCGTCGCCAACGTTCACAACAGTGTCAAGGGTTCGAATGGTTGAAAGTCCCAGGAGTTCTGTTCTGGCACGGTCTAGGATAACCAGGTCGCAGCAGTCAGGTTGATTCGCGGTGTTGAAGTGCCAGGAATTGTGTGTTGGTATGAATTAGGATTACCAGGCCCCCTCAGTCATGTTGATCTGCGGCGTTGAAATCCCAGGCATGCTGTTTTAGCACGATTGAAGATTATCAGACGGTTGTCCTCTAAGAGGCCACTTCCCGCAATGGGACCAAATTCTTGTAAGGACAGATGCAGAGGGAACTTGGAGAAAGGTTTCATTGCACCGTCGCTGATGCGCTTTGGGTTTCAATAACTCCTCCTCGCCCTGTCGCTGTCCGCTATGGTATTCGTTTTCGGACGCTGCCCTCCCCCACCCCACCAAGGGACGGTCGCCCCCTCTTTTTGCCCCTCGTGAATCCTCCTCTTTGTTTGTTCCTCATCCCCTCCTCCTCCTGCTCCTCCTGCTCCTCCTCCTCCGCCGCCTCCTCCTCCTCCTCCGTCCATCCCCTGGAGCACCGAACACCTTCGACTACATCGGAAAACTGCCAGCTACCAAGGGAAAGATTGCAATATCAGGCAATAGCGAAAACAAAACCCTCGCTGCTCAGCCCCGGAAGGTGTCATCCGCCGAGACGGCCGCTACCCAGAGAACGGTATTGCAGATGAAGTTGCAGCAGCTCCTCCGGGAGTACGGCATGGCGCAGGAGGTCATAGAGGCCGTTCTTTCAGTACCTCCCCCAGGAGGAGGAGGATTAATAAGAAGCAGATGATACCGGAGAAAACCCAATCAAAGTCTTTTTAGGGCTCTAGGACTATGGGACTATAGGGCGATGGGGCTACGGGGCTATAGGGCTATAGGTCTATACAGCTATAGCGCTATAGGGCCATACGGCCATAGGGCGATAGGGCTGTAGGGCTACAGAGCTATGGGGCTACGGGGCTATGGGGCTATAGGGCTGTAAGGCCATAGGGCTATAGGGCTATTGGGCTATTGGCCTATAGGGCTATAGGGTCATAGGGCTATGGGGCTATAGGGCTATTGGGCCATAGGGCTGTATGGCTATAGGGCTACAGGGCTATAGGGCTATGGGGCTATAGGGCTATGGGACTATGGGGCTGTTGAGCTATTGAGCTATTGGGTTATTGAGCTATAACGATATAAGGCTATGGGCCTATAGGCCTATAGGGCTATGGGGATATGGGGATATACGGCTATTGAGGTATTGGGCTATTGGGTTATTGAGCTATAATGCTATAAGGCTATAGGCCTATAGGCCTATTGGCCTTTTGGGCTATAGGGCTATGGGGCTATGGGACTATACGGCTGTTGAGCTATTGGGCTATTGGGTTATTGAGCTATAATGATATAAGGCTATGGGGCTATAGGCCTATAGGGCTATGGGGATATGGGGATATACGGCTATTGAGCTATTGGGCTATTGGGCTATTGAGCTATAATGCTATACAGCTATAGGCCTATAGGCCTATTGGCCTATTGGGCTATAGGGCTATGGGGCTATAGGGCTATCAGGCTATAGGGCTATAAGGCACCCGGGCACCCAGGCACCTGGGCACCCGGGCAACCGGGCGGGCCGCGGAAATGGGTGACGCACCTCACCTAACCATATGAATCCACTAGGACCCCTACAGAGGCAAGCTCTGATTGGGGAAAATAAGAAGAAGAAGACGAAGAGACGAAGAGAGGGAGGAAGAGGGAGGAAGATGAGGAGGAAGGAGGAGGAAGGAAGAAGCCAGGACGGAGCGGAGAAGGGATGGTGAGTGGTGGGGAAGGGGCTCTGAAGAAGCTGGAGGCGGCTTCATTGCAGTCTAAGGTCTTGGCTGTTCTTTTGGGTTCCAGGGGATCTTGGGGGGTCATCCTTATCCCTCCTCCTCAGCCGCCTCCGCATGGATCGGCAATGCGTTGCGGAAAAAAGGACGACATAGAGGCCGCCAGTTACCCTCTTCCTTTTCACCCCTCCTCCCGCAGCCCACTCCTCCCATCCCCACTTCCCAGCACAATTCCTCATCCTCCTCTACCGCCTGCTCCTCTTCCTCATCACCCTCCCCCTATCACATTTCCGTCTCTCCCTCCTCTTCCTCCGCTTGTGTGACGCTGCACAGAGTGTGATTTGGTGTCGAAGCGTCTAGACGTTCCTCCGCCTCCTCTTCATCCCCCTCTACCTCCTTTGTCCTTCGGCTTGCGAGAGTGCGACCTCGACGCGGTCAGGTCGATGGGCCAGGCCGCGAGGAAACCGCCCCAGGATTTGGAAGATGAGGGATCCTCCGATTCCATGGGCTACAGTTGTTGTTCAAATTGTTCATCCTGACGTGAGGTCGCTCCACAACAACCACTTCCTTTGTCCCTTTCCACCTGGAGCATTTAGCACGGCAGCATCGTGAGGCTTCCTGAGCGGCCTGGCCTCCCACCATCCACGAGGGACGCAGGGACGATTGAAGGGGGCACCACCGCGGAAGCCTGGAACTCCAGAGAGCACCTTCGGACCCACACCGCACCAGGCAGCGAGACACGCACCACCTGTGGCGCCTGGCCTTTCCCCGGAGCTCTGCACTCGCGTGGCCGGGCACGTCGGCCCTCCGCAAGTGCGTTCGGCGCGATGCTTTCGACTATATACTCCGCGCGCGAGTCCAGCCGGGTGTGTCTCTGGCTCCCTTTGGACGGGGCTAGGACGAGAGTTCGTTCCAGAGCGTCCCGGAACGCTCTCGGAGCGTTCCAGAACGCTTTGAGAAGGCCGCGGCGTCCGATACATTTCCCAGAGCCGCCAGATCTCAGAGATGCCAAATCCATCCTCACCCGAATTCGGCCTCGTCCTGGGTTCGTTTTATTCCTATTGGATGCCCATGTGAGCGACGCAAAAAAGTTAGTGCGTTTGCACGGACATTCACGCGCAAGCTGCCCGCGCGAGGTCGCGCACAAGCGCCTTCGTTTCCAACGCAGCACTCCTCGTTGGCGGCATGCATGAGCCACCGGGTAAGGTCGCTATGCCGTCTCGCGTAAGACCCCTTTCATTTCGCCGATCATGCGTGGAATCCGCCGCCGCCCGTTCTTTCCGGGCCCCGCCTCCGTGGTCGTTGTCCTCACAATCGTTTTCGCTCGTCCTTGGAGCCATCGGCTCCATGTGACACTTCTGTGGCCGACGCTTGTGATCACAGCTCACGGCGGTCTAGTGCCCAGCGACTCTCAACCGCAGTCGTTTCGGTTCGCGCTGTTTGGGCTCGCGCGCCGCTTGGCCACGTGCCTGCCCCACCTCCCTGGACATCCTGCGGCTCGAGCTTGTTCGAGACATGGGTCGGGCCTTGAAAAGGCGCGGTGTTCGTGTGATGAGTCAGTGGGGATTCGGGGTGGCCGCACGGTTTTGGGACTTGGATCGTTCTCCAAGGATGTCTCAAGCGTCCAGGGCCTCCAGGTCCCAAAACGGTGACGGACCGTGCGGCGAGGTCTTCTCGGACAGTTCGAGGACACACCCCCCAATGGGCTCACCAGACCTTTCGACCCCTCCTTCGGGGCCGGGTCTCCACCCCGAGTCTTCTCCGACGGCCCTCGGACCCGACTCTGGCCCCGGGAAGGCTTCTTGAGAAGGCCGCGACCCAAGAGCGGTCGCTTCGACCTTCCGCAAAGAGCGGCCGCCTCGACTTCTGTTCTTCCCGAGCCGCCGGGTGTTGCTGCCAACCCGCCGAGGGCCCCGCCGACAGATGGCCCGCTCCGCCCTCGCCACCGCCTGCGTGCTCGCGATCCTGGCCTGCGCCGCCCGCCGCGGCGCCCGCGCCTTCGTGCCTGCGCCGTGGGCCCCCGCCCCGCCCGGCGGCGCGCTGGCGGCGGCCGGCGCGCTCGCTGCTGCCACGCACGGCGCTGAGGCCGCCGGCGCGCTCGCGCAGGGCGGCGAGGATTTCTCGGGGGGCGCCGCGGAGTGGTCGCCCGCAGCGGTGCTGGCCGGGCCCGCCTTGGGCCAAGGGTCGGTGCACACGGGCTCCTGCCAGTACGATCGAACGTTCGGGCTTCGAGGATCACTTTCCGGAGTTTTTAGATCGTCGTGTGGCGCCTTCGTGGCCACGGCTGGATCCACTTCGAAGTTCTGGTCAGCACGCACCCCAGAAGAGGTCCAGGGGTCGATGTTTGACCCCTGGTCAGGGGGGGGCAGTCGGAGATGCGGAAAAAATGCGTAGACCGACAGCAGCTCCTGGTCATTCTGAACTGGGCTCGCTGTCGACATCGCCGCGGGCGCTGTGCATTTGAGGCAGGAGGTCGTCTGCCCAACAGCGGCCGCCATCGGTTTGGGACAACAACTGCTGTTAAGCATCGTACCCATTTCTTCTGCACCCAGTCCGCGCGTGCCAATATATGCCAAGCCAGAAAGGCGTACAGTCAAGATTTCGCACTCAGGAGTGGCTCTGATTGTTCGGGCCGCTCCCGAGGTCCACGCACAGGAACTTGATCGTGGCCGAGGCTCGCCGTAGCCAGAGACGCCCCTTTCCTGTTCCTTGTCCAGCGCTATCCGTGGTGGCGCGAGAACTGCAGCCCTGGGCCCAGGACCGGTGCACACACGGCCTCCTGGCCGAGCCAGGAGGGCACACGGCAGGCTCGTGCCCAGACCCCCATCGCGCAGCGAAGGAAGAGTCACGACGAGAGCTTCTCGGCATCAGGGGCGCCCCCGCCCGGCCCAGGACCGACGGAGAACGGCTGGGAACGAGAAGCCTGTGCCGGGGAGTGGGTCGGGACCTTCTGGGGTCGACGCAGCTCAAGAATCATTACATCGGGGGCCTGGGGTGTGGTGCCGACGCGGCGGCGACCCCACCACGGGCGTTCGAGGTTGAGCGCCGCCAGTGGCCCAGAGTCGGGCGATCTGGAGCGACCTGGCGGTCGACGAGTCGCCGATCGTCCAAGGCTGAACGATGCACGCGGTGTCCCCAGACCCCCGACTTCACGATTTCTTCACAACGTCGACCCCTGGATGTCTCGACCCATCCCCAGAGACCGGTTTCTCATCCCGAGCAGTTTGTTGACGACTCCAGGGCTTTGCAAGGCCCCTGGATCGGTATACGATCGAAATGGGTACGGACAGAATGGCTACGAAGACTGACAGATCCTGTCCGTATCGAACGCGGTGTCAGGAACCAACGCCAGGGTCGTCACGTCACGAGATTGCCGCGCACATTGCTGCATCGATCGAGGGCGCAGGACTGGCCTGGCCAAAGTCGGTGCAGGTGGCCACCCTGCGGCCTCCCCAAGGAGTATTTCGACGTCCTCGGCATCCTCGAGAGCCGAAACTCGGCGTAAGGATAAGTTTTCGGACGTCCGCGCTGATTTCTGGGATCGGCGATGGAACATCCTCCATGCCACCCCTTGCGGCGACTCGGTCGCCATCCCAGGCAGCGGGGGGTCCAGCGGCGACCCAAGAAATTCGCGTGGATCTCTTAAAGTTGGTCTTTGTGCTGTTTTTGTTTCTCTGCGTAAGCCCCTTGTACTGGGGCATGGGCGCGTTTGGCATAGTTTTCCTTTTTGTCCTGGACCTCTCTGGCCAGATGCTGAGGCATACGTGAAGCAAGCAGGTGGGCCGCGTGCAGATTGGAAAATGCGGCTGCTGCGAATGGCCAGTGCGGCAGCTAACGGCATGGCCAGTGTGAGTGTGATCCCACTTATTGCCAGTTGGATTACACGGGAGGTCGCGACTTTCGAGGCAGGGCAAACTCCGCAGAGGGCGTCTTAGGTCACCGTGGGTTCCCAGAAGGCATGCGCCCTCGTTCGTCGTACAATGTTATCTGTGCGGCGGCCTAGGAAAGGCCGCCCTGCAAATAGATTGACAAGTCTTTTTGAATCGGCAAGACTTGAAGATGGCAGCGTTGAGGTATTGCTACTTGTTGTTGTACTGATTTCTTACACACGCCGTCTGCAACTGATGCGCCGTCTAGGCACGAGTCTGTCGTCGTTCTGGCTAATGTAATCCGTACGGGCGTCGCCCTCTGCCGCCGGCCCCCTCTCTATCAGAGTGGGATATATCAGAGTCGCGTCGGTGCGTCTTGGCGCTGCCTTGGCGCATCTAGGAACACCATGCGGGGCGGATAGAAATCATCAGCGCGTATTGAGACGTTGGCGTTATCGAAGACGCCTACGGCGAATCACCGCCGCCCCTTGCCTTTTTGGAAGCGCCTATGTGGCCGAACGTTGAGGCCAGACCTGCCAAGCTATCGGAGCATGTGTTCCCCGAATCGGTTTGGAAAGCCTTCGGGGAACACGTGGGCATCTTGAAGGTCATCTCGGCCGCCTGGAGGCCATTTTGACCCTTTCGGGCCTTCTTGGAGGACGCCTTGGAGGGCGCCTGGGCTGTCTTGGAGGCCATCTTGAGCGTCTTGGAGGCATCTTGGGTCGTCTTGGGGGCCTCTTGGGGCCGTCTTGGGCCTCTTGGGCGATCTTTGGGGGCACTTGGGCCGTCTCGGGCCGTCGGAAGCCGAGAAAAAGCAAATGCCCTTCAAAAACTCATGGCCTTTTCGGGCCTTCTTGGAGGCCCTCTTGGAGACATCTTGGGCCGTCCTGGGCCATCTTAGTGCCATCTTCGGCCGTCTTGGTGGGCCCCTGGCCCGTCCGACGCCGTCGGAAGCCGTTTGGGGGGCCTCTCTGAGCCGACTTGGGGCCCTCTTGGAATGCTCCAGGGCCGTCTTGGAGGCCATCTTGGGCGTCTCAAAAGCCTCTTGGGCCGTCTTGGGGGCCTCTTGGGGCCGTCTTGGAGGCCTCTTTGGCCGTTCTGGGGCCATCTTGGAGGCATCTTGGGCGATCTTTGGGCGATCTTTGGGGGCTCGCGGGCCGTATCGGGCCGTCGGAAGGCAGAAAAGAAGCAAATGTCAAAACCTTTTCGAAAACCTAAGGAAAATCAGTGTTTTCTTCCTGGAGGCCCTCTTGGAGGCCTCTTGGGCCATCTTGGGCCAGCTTCGAGCCAATTTCGGCCATCTTGGTGGGTTCCTGGCCCGTCTGACGCCGTCGGTGCTCCAGGCCGTCTTAGAGGCCATCTTGGGCGTCTTGGAGGCCTCTTGGGTTGTCTTTGTGCCGGCTTGGGGGCCCCTTGGGCAGTCCTGAGGCCATCTTGGAGCACGGTTAACCGTAAGTGTGTAGTGCTAAAGCCGCAAGTGCACAGCAGTAAGTGCACAGTTGCATTCTCGATGGAGTGCACGGTGCACGGTACTGCAAAGTAAAATCCAATGCTAAAAGCAAATGCTAAAAGCCAACGCTAAAAGCCAATGCTAAAAGCCAATGCTAAAATCCAATGCTAAAATCCAATGCTAAAATCCAATGTAAAATACAATGCTAAAATCAAATGCGAAAATCCAATGCTAAAATCCAATGCTGAAATCCAATGCTTACCTCCAATGCTGACGGCGTCGAATTCTTGCTCGCCGAAAACCGCGGCGCCGAAATCATTTGGAACCCCCGGCAAGCTGCTAAATTCCAATGCTAAAGTCCAATACTAAACTCCGATGCTAAAACCCAATGCTAAAATACAATGCTAAAACCAAAGCTAAACTCCAATGCTAAAATCCAATGCTAACGGCGGCAAGGTGCTCAAATCCAATGCAAAAATCCATTGCTAAAATCCAATGCTAATGGCGTCGAACGCTTGAGCGCCGAAACCCGCGGCACCGAAATCATGCGGAAGCCCCGGCAAGGTGCTAAAATCCAATGCTGAAATCCAATGCTAAAATCCAATGCTAAAATTTCTCGCGCGTCGAAATACGCGGCGCTGAAAGTCTTGCAGAACGCCCAGCACGGTACCGAGACCCTAGGCGAAAATCCAATGCTAAAATCCAATGCTAAAATCCAATGCTACAATCCAATGTTAAAACCGAATGCCAAAATCCAATGCTGAAAACCCATGCTAAAATCCAACGCTAAACTCCAATGCTAACGGCGCCGAAGTCTTGCACGCCCGGAACGGTACCGCAATCCAATGCTAAAAACAAATGCTAAAATCCAATCCTAAAATCCAATGCTAAATCCAATGCTAAAATCCAATGCTAAAATCAAATGCTAACGGCGCCGAGTTCTTGCGCGCCGAAATCCGCGGCACTGATGCTCAAATCCAATGCCAAAATCCCATGTTAAATTCCGATGCTAAAATCCAATTCTAACGGCGCCGAACTCTTGCGCGCCGAAATCCGCGGCTGAAAGTCTTGCAGAAAGCTCGGCGCGGTACCGAATTCCAATGCTAAAATCCAATGCGAAAATCCAATGCTAAAACCCAATGCTAAAACCCAATGCTAAAACCCAATGTTAAAATCAAATGCGAAAACCAATGCTAAAATCCAATGCTAAAATCCAATGCTACAACCCAATGCTAAAATCCAATGCCAAAATCCAATGCGAAAACCCAATGCTAGAGCCCAATGCAAAAATCCAATGCTAAAATCCAATGCTGAAACCCAATGCTGAAATCCAATGCTGAAATCCACTGCTAAAATCCAATGCTAAAATCCAATGCTGTAATCTGATGTTCAAATCCAATGCTAAAGTCCCATGCGAAAACCCAATGTTAGAATCCAATGCTAAAATCCAATGCCAACGGCGCCGAATTCTTGCGCGCCGAAACCCGTGGCGCTGAAAGTCTTGCAGAACGCCCAGCACGGTACCGAAATCCAATGCTAAAATCTAATGCTAAAGTCCAATGCTAAACCCAATGCTAAAATCCAAAGCTAAAATCAAATGCTAACATCCAATGCTAAAATCCAATGCTAAAATCCTATGCTAAAACCCAATGCTACAATCCAATGCTAAAATCCAATGCTAATGGCGCCGAACTCTTGCGCGGCGAAATCGGCGCTGAACGTCTTGCAGAATGCCCGGCAAGGTACCGAAACCCAGTGCTAAATTCCAATGCTAAAATCAAATGCTGAAACACAATGCTACAAATCCAATGTAAAATCCCATGCTACACCCCAGTGCTAAAGCCAATGCTAACATCCAATGCTAAAACCCGATGCTAGAATCCAACGCTAAAATCCAATGCTAAAATCCAATGTTAAAATCAAATGCTAAAATCAAATGCTAACATCAAATTTTGATGGTGCCGAACTCTTGCGCGCCGGAATCCACGGCGCTGTGAAAGTCTTGCAGAACGCCCGGCACGGTACCGGAATCCAATGCTAAAACCCAATGCTAAAATCCAATGCTAAAATCCAATGCTACAATCCGATACTGAAATCACATGCGAACATCCAATGCTAAAATCCAATGCTAAAATCCAATGCTAAAATCAAATGCCAAAATCGAATGCTAAATTTTCAAATCCGATGTTAAAATCCAATGCTAACATCCAATGCGAAAATCCAATGCTAAAATAAACGCCACTGCGCACTTACAGCTCAAGGCCACTGTGCACTTACAGCTTACCATCATCTTGGAAGCCTCTTGGGCGCTGTGGGGGCGATCTTGGGGGCCTCTTGGGCCGACTTGGGTCGTCGAGCCGAGAAGAAGCGAATGCCAAGATCCTTCAAAAACCTATTGGATATCAATGATTTTGGCCTCTTCGGGCCCTCCTGGAGGACCTCTTGGAGGCCTCTTGGGCCGTCTGAGAGGCCTCTGGGGGGCCTCTTGGGCTGGGCTGTCTTGGACTCTCTTGGGCCGTCTTGGAGGCCGTCTTGGACCATCTTGGGCGGACTTGGAGGCCATCTTGGAGGCCATCTTGGGCCAACGTGGCCATCATGGAGGCCATCTTGAGCCGTCTTGGAGAAAAGATTGTGCAATTGAGGTCCTTTCCGGGTGGCCGGCGGGACGGGCCGAAGCCCCAGGGGGAGTTCTTTTGGAAAAAGAACCAAAACCAAATCCGAGAGGATTTAGCACCCACGGCACCCTTGTAGCAAGCACAGGGGGCGGCGGATCCTAATGGCCTTCGGCCCCTGAGGCCTCTTGTATACGTGTTGGGGTGTCGTAGGGGAGCCCCAAAAGGGCCTCTTGGAGCCGGTTTGGGCGCCTCTTGGGGGCCTCTTGGGGCATCGTGGGGTATGTTTTGGGCCTTTGGGAAGCCTCTTGGGCGCGTCTTGGGCGCCTCTTGGAGCCTCTCGGCGGCCTCCTGGGGCCTCCTGGGGGCTTCTCGGGCACACATTTCGAATGTTCGGTTCGTGGTCCAATGCTTGGGTCCCTTTGGGGGCCGTCTTGGGGCCCTCTTTGGCCATCTTGAGCGCTTCTTGGGCCATCTTGGAGCCCTCTTGGGCCGTCTTGGGGCCCTCTTGGAGGCGTCTTGGGCTGCCTTGGGGTGGTCTTGGGAGCTTCTTGGACCGTCTTGGAGCATCGAAAGCCGAAAATCCGAGAATGCCAAGATCCTTCAAGAACCTTCCTGAAATCGTCTTGGAACCATCTTCGGGCGCCTTGGAGCACTCTTGGCCTCGGCAATGCGGATGTGGCGTAATTTACAAGGGTTCACGGGGCGCGAATCTTAGATATTTTAGCGTGTCCCATGCCCCCCCATGAATTCAGAGAACGCGATCCCGGCATGGTAACCGGGTCCTCTGGGGTTCCCCCCCTCGCGCGGACTTCAACAATTTACAGTAAGAAGCAGAAAGCAGGATTGTAACATTGGACACTTGAAATTACAACTGGCGCAGGGAGCAGCAAGCCTAAGCCTCGCCGCCTGGTGGCCCCATAAGGGTGCCAGCGGATTTCTGAACCGCCTTTTGCTGATACAGCGCACGTGCAAACGTAGAGTAGCACGGCTTAAACGATTTACCAGCTGCCTGTAGCAAACCACGCCACCGTGCCAGTGCAGCAGCAGAGCAGGAAGGAGGTAAGACACGCTTCAGTTCAGCGTTCTGTCTGATTTGGCGCTGGTTTGGAGCGCCCCCCCCTTGTCCGCAGCCTCGTACTTCTCTTCCTTCGTCATTCCTCCTCCTCCTCCTCCTCCGCACCGTCTTTCTCCTCCCTCCTGGAAGCAGATTGGAGGCTTCTTGGGGAGCTTCATAGGGCCCTCTTGGGTGCCTCCTGGGAGCGTGCTGAAGGCACGTTGGGGACCCGTCAAGGGTCTCGGGGCCGTCTTGGGCGAGATGATACGCGATAGATCCACAGACCTCTCCCGAAGAAGCTCCATTGAACAATCTTGGAGACGTCTGGGCGGATCTTGGGAGTCTTGGGGCCTTCTCGGACCATCACGGGAGGCTCTCGGGCCGCAATGGGGTTGTCTCAGGGCGGTCGGAGGCGTCTCCAGGGTCACTGAAGCTTTCCCGAGGGGGTCCGAAGCCGAAAAGCCTCGGAAGCAAAACACAAAGTGCTCCATTAGTTTTCCCATTTCTTTCGCCTCATGGCCTCGCTGGAGGCCTCTCCTGGTGTCTTTTGTTGGCACATTAGGAGGACCTTGGAGGCGTGCGGAGCTCCAGGGACAGTCTTTGGATAACCTTGGGGTGTCTTGCCGCAGCTTTAGGGCGGCCCCTGGATGTGTTGGAGCTGCCTGGGGGCCGAAAAGGGCACCAGAGAGCAAACGCGAGGGGGCGGCTCTCGAATCCTACGTGCTGCGGGCTGGGGGTAGGGTGGCCTTACGAGATTGCAGCAGTTCTACCAAACAGCAGGAAAGCACTCTGACAGACCCCGACGTCCCCCTGGCACGGTGGCGGATGCGTTTGGCTTCTTTGTGATCTCACGTCATCTTGACCCCGGCGCGCACGGAAGCGAGGCCCCGAATGACGCCTTGACACCATTTCCAGGGAGTCTGGGCAGGCCGGAGAGTCCAGAGCTGGATCCCAGATTGGCGGTCTCGCACAGGAGTGCTTCGAGCATTTGCTTCCAGACTCCAAGGTTCCAGGGGGCTTGCAAGAGACTTCCATATGGCTCCAAGAGGCGCATCCTCACACCGCATCGGTAGAACATCGGGAGGCCAGGGGAATCTGGACACGAATCCCATCCAAGCGCTTTCGCATAGCAGCTCTTCGAAAGTCGGTTCCGAGACTCGAAGGCCCATGGCGTCCTGCAAGAGAGGTATTCAACCTACGCGTATATAGATGGTGGCCGTCGGCCCATCCCGCCACCGTACTTGGGTGGTGGGTAAGAGTTCTCAGGGATACTTTTTCGGGTCTCTTTGCGACGCTCTCGAGGGCCTCTTGGGAGCAGTTTGGGGGGCCTCTTGGAAGCCTCTTGGGAGCCTCTTGGGAGCCTGTTGGGGCCTCTTGGGGTCTCTTGGGAGCTTCTTGGGGGCCTCCAGGAGGGCCCTCGGGGCCGAGGGCTCGAAATATCCATTCGGGTTCCCCCTCTGGGCCGCCTCTTGGGGCCGTCTTTGGGCCCTCTTGGACCGTCTTTTGCGCCTCTTGGGCCGTCTTGGGGCGATATTTAGGGGCCTCTGGGGCCGTCTTGGGGCGACCTTGGGGCCTCGTGGGGCGTCTTGGAGCGTCGGAAAGCCGGAAAGGCGAGAAGGAAAAACAAAACCAACAAAAAATTTCAAACAAATCTACGAGTTGTGCCTCTTGGGGCCCTCTTGGGACGCCTCTTGAAATACTCTTGGGACGTCTTCGGGGTCTTGGGCGTATTGGGGTACGCTTGGGCCTTCTCGGAGACATCTTCGGCCCTCTTGAGCGCTTCATGGGCCAATGTTTGGCTGGCTGCGCTACGGGAGAACGCGCGCGACACGCCCGGGGAATTCCCGGAAATCCAGAGCAATCCCCAGAAGTGCCCGGAATTCCTTGTGAAATTGGCGCCCGGGTTTTTCAAACTTTTTAGAGCATATCCGTTGCGTGCATGTCTTTCCCCATCGGTCTAGAGTTCAGGCCGTCGATGCTAATCGCTTCCGTGGGTTTTTGGGCTCAAGAATTCGCATCCAGGCAGTGCGAATGGATTTCCTCTGGCCCGCAGCCCAATACGCGTGGCAGGGGGCTCTTGCATATCTCTGGGGCGGCAATTTGCAGCGCTGCCCTGCGATCACGATCCCGGCGTGTCCGGGGTTCCCTGGCTGCGCGGCCTGCCCGCCGTGCCCAGGCTGCCCGGCGTGCCCGGGAGGAAGGCCGGCGCCTGCCAACCCGGCGCCGCCGGTGGGGCAGGAGGCCGGGGCCGACACCGCGCCGTCCTCGTTCTGGCTGGTGGTGCTGGTGAACGAGCTGCTGTTCCTGGGCCTCGTCGCCTGGTACGTGTACGGCTCGTGGGGCGGCGCGTGGCTGGCCTGCAAGCGTCGTCATGATGGCGGGGGCGATCGTGGCCCCAGCAGTGGCAGCAGCGCCGGAGATGCAGCAGTGGGCGTGGGTTCGCTACGACGGCGAGCCATTATGGCACCAGCGGCTGATCTTGGGGCGTCGGGCGAGAGTGCCAGCTGAGGTCGTGTCGCCGTTCGTCGTGTTGATCTGCACCATGGACACGGACATCTACGAGGAGGACTACACGTGCGACGGCAGCGACATCATCGCCGTGCGCTACGCAGGCGATCGAGCGACCTTCCCGCCCGGGATTCGAGGTGCGAACTCACACCGCTTCAGGCGGGACCTGACGATGCAGGAGCAGCAGCAGATCGACCAGGCGGCCTTGGACTACTGCAGGGCGGCGCTGGCGGCCGATCATCATCGCCTTCGACTGGGAGCGCCGGCGGGGCCCTTCCTCATCCCGTTGACCTTCGGTCAGGGCGGCCCGGCTGCCCCGGCGGTGGCAGGTGGAGTGGCGGCGATGGCGGCCCCGGGCGCGCAGGCTGCTGCTCTGGTTGCCGCTGGTGGAGGACCTGGAGTTGCCGTCGGAGGAGCGGCCGCTGCCGGAGCAGGTGCTGGTGGCGGAGCTGCCGCTCCTGCGGCGGCGGGCGTAGCCGCTGCCGCCATGTGGGTGCTGGTCAAATCGACGACTGCTGGTGCGCGCGGGACCGCCGTGGTTCCGCCCGCCGGATCGGAGCTGCGAGGGTCTGTCGGCCTCATGCCGCTGGCCGACGGCTCGTGGGTGGCGATCCGCTCGATCTCGGGATCGGCCCAGGAGTACGCCGGGCGAGAGGCCGCGTCGGACGCTCGTCTGATGGGGATCCTGCCGAACCCTGCTGTTCCAGGCGGGAGGCTGCTGCGGCAGTGGCGCGACGCCGTCTCCAGCTTCACCGAGGAGGCGTTCGTGGACTGGCACATCCCCGGGCCGCGGACTTGCCTGTGGTGCTGCAAGTTCATCGACCGTCGGCAGGGGGGGCCGCTGGACCACTTCAGGTTCTGGAAGGCGACCCTCGGACTGGCGGCCGACGACTACGGCGTGAACGACTACGAGGCCGGGATGCGCGCGATCTACACGATGGCGTGCTGGGACGGCTTGGACCTGCCAAACATCGCGGGTGCCGAGCAGATCCTTCGGAAGTGTCAGATGTACGAGTACGTCTACGTGATGGACCGGGACCCCCACCACGGAGGCCACAGCGCCGGTGACGGCGGCGAGGCGGGCGAGAACAAGAAGACTGGCAAGAAGGGCCGTGGCCGTGGGGGCGGTAGTCACAGCTTGCTGAGTTTCGGGTTCATCGACGAGAGCGCGGTCTTCACCGGTCTCAGCCGAGACCACGGGGAGAGCATGATCTGTCCCCTGCTCCTGGAGCATGTGGCGAAGGAGGTGGAGAGGGACGCTTCGGTGTTGAAGCAAGTACGCAAGGCCCGCGAAGAGCAGCGGGCCTTGCGAAAATGACGGGCGTACTACCACGCGGGCCGCTTCCCCCCGGCGGTCCGCGCGTTTCTGGAGGGGGGCCCAGCGGTGGTGGCCCGCCATTCGCTGGAGATGAGCACTTCGAGGGCATGCCTTCCGGTCGCCAACGTGATCTATTTCCACTGCCACGTCCTGATCAACAGCGCCAGGTCCGTTCAGAGGCGAACAGCTTCGCTTGCACACGTTCTGTGGCCCGTCGTGGTCTTCGACGGGGTCATGCCGATGCTATGGTGAGCGAGGTGGTTAATACTCTCAACGAGCTGTACGTCGGCCAGCCCTGTCGCCACGGCGACCACTCGCAGCCTGTCTCTGCGGGTCAGCAGCGGGCCTTGGACAACGTTCGAGATGCTGTCCGACGGTTCGGTAAGCCCCCGGAGGGATTGACTGGCTCAGGAGCCCTTGAGGAGCTCCGAGTTCTCAGCGACTACGCCGGCGAGAGTGCCACGGTCGCTCCGTTCAGCTTTGATAACATCAACAGCCTCTCGCTCCCGGACGAGGGTTTCGCGCCGGTGGCGCTGGACACGCTGGGAGGAGGAGCTGGCCGTAAGATAGTTGAACGGCTTCATGATATGATGCTGTCCCAGTCCGAGGGTCGGGCTCGGATTGAGTCCGACGGTCCTCGGAAGCTTTACATTGACCCGGCGCTCAGGAACCCCAAGCTGTACATCCAGCTGCTGCGGGTCCTCGAGCGCCGGAACCTCATCGACTACTACGCTGACAAGGCGCGCAGCGTGGGTGTGTTCTTCGTTTATAAGAAGTCGGGGAAGCTGCGGCTCATCCTGGACGGCAGGCATGCGTCCCTGCACTTCCAGGCCCCCGACAAGGTGGCCCTTGCGTCTGGCGCCAGCTTCGCTGGTCTTCACGTGGACAGCGGGAAGCCCATCGCCGTGGCCGAGGTGGACCTGGCCGACGCCTTCTACACGATGCTGCTGCCGCCGGAGTTCCGACGGTACTTTGCGCTGCCGAGCTGCCGCGCGGGCCAGCTGGGGCTCGACTGCACCTCGGATGGGCGCCCTCTCAGCGGGACGGACCTGGTCTACCCCTGCTTCCGGTGCCCGCCGATGGGCTGCTCCTTCAGCCTCTGGATCTGCCAGACGACGTTGGAGGCGACCGCGCTGCAGGTGCCCCAGCTGACCGTGACCAACCGCTTCGTGGACAGGCGTCCTGTGCCGGGAGTCACCAGCGACGTGATCCACACCGAGTACGTGGACAACGCGCTGAGCCTCTCGACCGACCCGT